ACTGAGCCATAGGTGCTGCCCTTTGTGATTTTTAAAGAAAAATTTACTATTATCTAGGTGCCACAGCATCTCTTGGTCCCTGCTCCAAGGTCGGTCTCAAGCCTGGTAAGAGGCTAATGGGATCTCTGGCATGACCCTGCTGCCTTCCTTCATGGGGCAGAGCCTGTGTCTTTGTGAGGGGCCTGCTTGGTTAGTTGAGCTATGAGAGCCTGTAGTGTTTTGAAACGTTAGTTCTTCCTTCTGTTGAGCTATTTTTGTAACATGAGTGGAAACTGAAATAGGTTTGTTCTTTGAAAACTAAGTCTAATCTCTCTTGTTTTTTTCTGGTATAGAGAGGAAATTTCCTATGTGTCTTGTCTTAGAATTACTTCTTAAAACTTAACATTGGTGAGACCTAATCTCGTTTTTCTTCTGTGGCATCGGAGTCTTAACGGTGACTGTGGGAGAAGGATGTCTAGCTAGTTATGACAGGATGAGGACTGGCCCAGCTGACCAGTCACTGTCTGCATGTTCCCCACCCACAGACTCAGATGTGCGCGCGCGTGCGCACACATCCACATGCACATATGGGTGGCCTAAGCTCCTTTGGAGGCAGCTGGCACCAGGCATTCATGTTGGGCCTCATTGCTGGGTGCCCTTTTGTTACTGAGAAGGGCTCAGGCCACTTCTGCCCCCCAGGGGAAGGCAAGAGGGGCCTGCAAGCCTCTGCTGCAGCCCTGTGCTCTGCTGTGTCTCTGCCTTCTTCCTTCTTACTCCCCAGTTTCTTTGGGGGGCCAGCCAGCCCTTTTATAGCCCTGGTGGCCCTGTGGTGCTCCTGCTTTGCAGGAGGCCAATCTTATCTCTCTTCACAAAGTGGCCTGTGTGGGCCTTAAGGAGTCTCTGTCTCATCATCATTAAACAAACTGGTGGACACATCAGTGCCCCCTTCAGGAACCCAGTGACCACACTGTACTCTGTCCTCGCCTCTCCTTCATCACTGCTGGTCTGGCGTAGGCTTTCCTACTTCTTCACACCCTTGACTGTTTGAGCAGTACTGGCCATGTGGTCTGCCTGGTGTTTTCTTGTGACTAGACTGGGTGGCGGGTTTGGGAAGACACCCATGTATCTGGCACCAGCAGGACTCTTGTCTCCTGGCTGGGGTGTGTCTGCCAGGTGCCCTCTGCCGAGTCACTGCTCTCCCACCACTCTGTCCTCTGGACTTGGGTCTTCCAGCCCATTTGTTTGTATGTAACAATCATTGATTTGTGGCTCTCCAGACTTGTGCACTTCATTTTATATTCTGGGATATAATCCAGTAGTATCTTTATTAGCTTGTTGCTCAGATCATCCTGGTGTTGGTCATTGGTGGTCTTTTCAGGTTGTTTCCTTGTGTCCCTCTGCTGTGCCTCTGTCCTTTTGTTTGAGCAACTCCTTGCTCTCTGGTCCTAGAGGACGCTGTATGTTTATCTTGTGTTTCTCTGCCCCAGCCCTGGGATAAGCCATTTCTCTAAGGAGCCCCGGCCCATTGTGTTAGAGGGTGGTGTTAAAGACCCCAGTCTGGGTGCTGGGGGTGTCTGCTGTCAACAGGGCTGTCAGCTGCTGCTTCTGGCCCTCTCATGGGTAGAGCTAGGTTACATGCAAACTGGCCTGTTAATCCACTTGTGTGATCGTTCCTCTGAATATCCATCTGTATGTATATTACGGGAAACGTGGACTTCGGTCCATACCAAAGTCTCCTCTAACCCAGCACACAGGGAGATTCTGGCCTTCCCTAGCTTATCTGGACCCTCCCTTTCCACTAGTGAGGACCTGCCTCCCACCACCACCTCCCTTTGTGTATCTGTGAGACTCTGGCGCATGCACAAAACAGTTGAGATTGTTTACCCAGAACCCCCAGGAGCAGAAGCCACTTAAAGTACAGTGTTTGTACAGAGTTCCTCTTGTCCTTGTCCTTGCAGTTTTCACTCAAAACATTTCCCAGAGTTACTCAGGCCAACCCCTCCCTCCCACTCAGCATGGTTATGATACGTGCAGAGTTAGACACATGGTCATGGTCTGCATTCCATCTTGGCATCCCCTCACTTCCTAGTGGGGCTTTTTTGATAGTTGATTAGTTGATTATTGTAATGTACACAAAAAATGAACAAGCTAATAGTTATCCGTAACCCCAGCATGGTGTGGAGTAGTTGTACACTACATTTCCTTGTGTGTGTAGGTGGCCTCTGTCCCCACCAGCCGCTGCCAGACTGATTTGTTTTCTGTCCTTACAGTTTTGCCTTTTCTGCTGTGTTGTATGAATAGAATCATACAACATGTAGTTTGGGGGGGTGTCTAGATTCTTTACTTAACAAAATGCATGTAAGATACAACCATGTTGTTGCCTAAATCAATAGCTCCTGCATTTTTATCTCTGAATATTATATCATTGTATGAATACACCACAGATGTCCTTTCTCCCTGAAGGACATCTTCCTTGTTTCTAGATTTTGGTGATCATGACCACAGCTGCTATACACATGTGCACCGAGGTCTTTGTGAGGATGTAGTCCACGGTTCGTTTGGGTGGACACTGAGTGTTCTGTAGTGGGGGCCCATGCTCAGCCTTTGTTCCCTGCATGAGGCACTGGCTCACCTGCATGTCGTCTGAGGTGGCTGCACCATTGTACATTCCCACTGCAACAAGTGACCATCCTGTTACTCTGAATCCTCTGGAACATTTGGTATTGTCAATTTTTAAAAATCTAGTCATGATGATAAGTGTGTGGTATTACCACATTGTGGTTTTAATTGGCATTTTTCCAGTGATAAACGATATGAAGCATCTTTTCAAATGTTTGTTTGCCATCTGTGTCTCTTTTTTATGTGAAAATTTCAGTGTCTTTTCAAATCGTTTGCCCTTTGTTTTCTTCCCACTTTTAAGATTGGATTGTTTGTTTTCTTATTATTGAGTTTTAAGAGTTCTTTAAATATTCTAGATGCAAATCTTCTTTCACATGTGTGATCTGCAAATATTTTCTCCCCATCTGTGGCTTATTTTTCATTCTTTTATAAGTTATCTTCTGCATATTGAGTTTTTCATTTTGATAAAGTCCAACTTACTGGTTTTTAGTTCATGGATCATACTTCTGGTATTGTCTATAGAGACTCATTGCCAAACCCAAGCCTCGTAGATTTTCCTCTAGAAGTTTTATACTTTTCTGTTTTACATTTAAGTCTGTGGTCTTTGAGTGAATGTCTATCTAAGGTTTGTAGAGGTTCATCTTTGCGTGTGGCTGTCCATTTGTTCCAGCAAAATTTCTTGAAAAGACTGTTCTTTCTCAGTGGAATTGTTTCCAAGCCTTTGTCAGACTAGTTCACTGTGTGAGTCTGGTTCTGCCTTTCTGGTCTGTTCTGTTGGCTTATATGGCTGTCCTTTTACTAATACCACACTGTTGTGCTTAGCTTCATGACGAGTCTTTTTATTTGCTATTTGTTTGTTTGGAAACAGGGTCTCACTCTGTCACTCAGGCTGGAATGTAGCTGCATCACAGCTGCATCACAGCTCACAGCAACCTCAAACTCCTGAGCTCTAGCGAGCCTCCCAAGTATCTAGGACTACAGGCCCACACCACCATGGTCAGTTTTGTTTTATATTTTTTGTACAGATGGGGTCTTATGTTGTCCAGGCTGGTCTTAAACTCCTGGTTTCAAGTGATCTTCCAGCCTTGGCTTTCCAAAGTGCTGAGATAATAGGCAAGAGCCACTGTACCTGGCTTTTATAGCAAAGTTTTGAATTAGAGTAATGTGAGCCCTCCAACTTAGTTCTTTTTTTAGAACTATTTTGGCTATTCTAGTTCCTTTGCCTTTCCATATACATTAGAATCAGCTTGTCAGTATCTACATAAAATCTTGCTGGATATTTTGCTTCTGACGGTGTTGACTCTATGAATCCAAGTAAGAAAAATGACACCTCAATAATTTTGACTCTTCTAATCCATGAACATGAGATTTTTCTCCAAATATTTAAATTTTATTTGATTTTTATCAGTATTTTATAGTTTTCCTTATACAGATTATGTTTCTACTTGTTAGCTTTATCTTCATGTACTTTTCAGGGTTGCTGTTGTAATTTAAGCTTTTTATCATTATGCAACACCCTCCTTTGTCCCTTACTTCTTGTTCTAAGTCTACTTTTTGTGATATTAATATCACCACTTTAGCATTCTCTTTTTTTGCATTTACATAGTGTATCTTTTTTACTTTTAACCTACTTTTTTTGTCTTTCATGTTTACAAACAGGAGTGTGGTTCTTGCTCCTGTCAATGTCTCTGTGTAAATACTGAAGCCTGGAGGATATAGAAGCACTTTCATGGGGGTGGGAGTTATTAGAAATGAACTCAGAAACTTGTGGTTTGGGTGGAGGGTAGTTAATGGCTCACGTGTAAGCAACACATGTCAAGCCCTGTGGCATGTTTTAGGGGCAGCACTCTTGCCCAGGGCCATGATTCTCAAGACATATTTCACAGTGGCAGGTGCAGAGTGCATTCGTATATAAGCAGGCACACATTTTATGTGCATGTACATCTAATTCATTTGTGTGTATGCAATGTATGTAAGTAGATGAAACATACGTAGTAGAACTTCCATAGCTGATTCCTCCCTACACTGACCTCCTCCTTAAGTAGACCTAATTTTCACAGACCAGACATGCTCCACATGTACTCAATGGAAGTTCCTTATGTTGACCACCTCTGCATGCTGACCACTTTGTTACAGTCCCTTGGGTGGCCAGGTCACAGAGGTTCTGTTATGTGTGCAAATACATATACGCGTGTCTTCTCCAGATTGGGTTTTCCATTATTCCCCTGGGATTTTGAGAAAGTACTCACACTCCTTGAGTCTAAAGTTTGGACTCCAGCTATTGGTCATACTGCCTCCTCTTCCTGCCCAGCCAAGTCCCTGGCATGTCTCAGAAGTGGCCACTGGTGTCCCCAGATGCTTTGTCCTTGTTCATGCTCCCTTGTCCTCCTCTTTCCTTCCAGTTGTGGCATTCTTGGTGGCTTTCCACCAGAATAAGCAGCTGATTGGGGACCAGGGGCTGCTGCCGTGCAGGCTGTACCTGAAGAACATCCAGCAGTACTTCCAGGGCAAGCTGGGCTGGGAGGCCCTGAACTATGCCCCAACCATCATCTGGCTGCTGGACTGGTCACATATGGACTTCAACCTGGACCTCCTAGCTATCCTGGGCCTGGGCATCTCAGCGTTCATCCTGGTAACTGGCTGTGCCAACATGGTCCTCATGGCTGCCCTTTGGGTCCTCTACATGTCTCTGGTCAACGTGGGGCAAGTCTGGTAAGTGGGAGAACTGAGAAGGTCATGGCACGGTACTCATCACACTCCACATTCTGTAGCCACTGATGCTGTGAGATGCACTCTTGGTCTCTTGCCAAGAGGGGACCCACGGGCTTGTTCAGAAGAGCATCTTCTTTTCACTCAGGCTGCTCATCACCAATCAGCCAGACTGCTGGAGCCTCTTGTCTTGGAGAGTACAGCCCCACTCTGTTTGGAGAGTCATGTGCACTCTTAGGACACTCCACCTCTAGCCCACAGGGGTCAGAGGATGGGTGTTCCTGGGAGCATTCAGGGAGCCAGATTTCAAGGTGGCCCTCTTGCTTCCACTTCCTTATTGAAGAGGATCCATCACCAGCCAGGCCCAGGCATGGTATTGGGACCACAGGTCAGGCTTCCCCCTGGCAGGAGGGGGTACCTCATGTCTGTGGAGACCAGAGGTGGTGGTAGGGTTCCCTGGGGGCCATGAGATAGAGAAGTTCTGTGGGCCCCAGATGAGGTGTGTCAGCCCAGGAGGGGCTGTGAGGTGTGTGTTACATGGAACAGGTGATAAAGGGGGGCACTCTTTTCAACTCCATTTTCCAGAAAAAGGAAAGAATCACAGATGAGTCTGTCTATAAGAGGAGATGAAGTTTTGAGGAAAAAGTCTGGGGGGAGGGGGATTGGTGTCCATGTGGGCAGTGGACATGGGGCAGGCATCTGTGTAGACATGTGAGATGTCTGTGCAGACAGTCACCAATTGGACAACTGTCTGCATGGATGTGTGGAAGGTGGATGTTGGGTGAACATCTGCATAGATATGTGGGAAGTGGACATGTGGGATATACACGTTGGGTGAACCATCTGTGTGGATGTATGGGAAGTGGACTGTGGAAGGTAGACATGGTGGAGAGTGGGTGTCCATGTGGATTTGTGGGAGGTGGACATGGGGCAGGCATTAGTGTAGATGTGTGGGAGGGGGACATGGAGGGCATAGGGCAGACATCTGTGTGGACGGGGGGTGTAGGGGATTGTGGGAGGGTGGCGTGTGGCGGGGGAACGTGGGGCGGGCATCTGCGTGGACGTGTGGGAAATGAAGACTTCCACTGGGTGATCTTGAGTGGAAGCTATCTGTCCTCCCAGGAAGACTGTTGAGGGCCTGAGAGTCTCTGTGATGCTAGCCCGGAACATGGCAGTTCCCTTGGTCATGGACCAGGACAGTAACTCTTCCCAGAGAGTAGACTTTAAGCACAGACCATCCATGGCTTGGGCACTTGGCACTGACCTTCACTGTGACCTTTCTAGCTACCTGATGTCTCTAGGGGCTGGGAACCTCCTGGGCCCAGTCCTGTCTGGCCCTCTGCTTGCTGGTAGAATGCTAGGTTTGTGCAGGCCTGGGATGGGGAGGTGGTGGGCTGAGATTGGGGGCCGAGAGTGCATGACCCTTGGCAGCAGGAGTGAAATGGACTACAGAACAGCAGGCTGGGCACAGCAGGCCCTGACCCCTTGGCTCACTGTCCCGGGCCCGTGTCTATATGCTTCGGCACCAGCAAATGCACCGTGCTGGGCCAAGCCTGAAGCTCAAGGATGGCGCTGATCATCGTTTAGCTGTGGCTTAAGCTATGCTAAACAGGAAGTGACCTGTGTGTTGGCATGGGAACAACTGGGAACTCTCTGAGGCCATGTACTCAGCCATGGACATGTCTTTTACTAGACAATTGTGTTTATCACTGAGAGGCCAAAAACACATTCTGTCATTTTTGTGACATTCAGGCCATATGGAACTGTGTTGGTTTCCTAAGGAATTGATTAGATTTATTACATGTTCTTCTTGAATAGTGAGGGTGGAAACAGGAATTGTTACATGGCCACTATGGTTTCTACACAGTGAGATGGGCTGTGTGCACCATGTCCCCAACTGTCTGCTTATCATGTGGGGATGTCACATGCACACTGTCTGGTCAGGCAGCTGCAGGGGTGAAGGGAGCTTCCTCTGTTCCAAGTGCCTCCCTACTTGGTGCTCCCTGGTGCTATCACCTCAGGTGACCAGCGTTGATTGTCTTCAATCTCCTTGGGCAGTGGAAGTGGAAGTTTATGATCCTGGGAGGACTCTGGCTGCATTTTTCTGTAATTCTTAGAGTCCGATGCTTTTTTGAGACATTGTGATTTTAATCCAAAGCAAAGAGGGGAGAGTATCAGGTCCCTTTGCCCTGTGATAGCAGTTGGAGTTACAGCGTGGAGAGTGCCCAGCCATGGTCTGCACACATTGAGGTGATGCTAAGATCCTTAGCAATCAGGAGAAATTATACCAAGTTTCACTTTAAAAAGCAAAATTATTTTATAGTCATGTTGAGGATATAAGGGGCAGGAATGATTAATCCATGTTTAAGGTTTTGAAAACTAGGTTGAGGGCTCGGCGCCTATAGCTCAACCGGCTAAGGCGCCAGCCACGTACACCTAAGGTGGCGGGTTCGAATCCCCAGCCCGGACCCGCCAAACAACAATGACGGCTGCAACCAAAAAATAGCCGGGCGTTGTGGCGGGCGCCTGTGGTCCCAGCTACTTGGGGGGCGGAGGCAAGAGACTCGCTTGAGCCCAGGAGTTGGAGGTTGCTGTGAGCTGTAATGCCACGGCACTCTACCCAGGGGGACAGCTTGAGGCTCTGTCTCAAAAAAAAAAAAAAAAAAAAGAAAACTAGGTTGAGGATTTGTGGCAAAAATATAGACTTGTATTTTTTTCATTAGAAAAGATATTCTACTCCCTTCTTGGATACGTTAGACAAAAAAGTGATTTAAATGAATTTAAGTTCCGTAAAGCCAAATAAAATGGAAGTATATATTCCCAGAAATGATGCATGAGATGTTTGAGTTGACAAGTATAAAGGAAGAGGATCTGAGCTGAGACAATTGGTGGACCCACTCTGGCTGCCAGAGGCCTATGCTCACAGGCACTGTGCCCTTCCCAGGGGGCAGATGGCTATGGGCCTGGAGCCTGGACTCACAGGCACCATCTACCCAGGTGAGATGCTTATTTTGAGGAATGCTGTCCATGTAGAAGGTACTCTTGGTTTGACCCTTACTCTGGTTTCCCTGGCGGATGGCAGTTTGGGGTTAATAGAAGCTTGAGGAAAAAGTGACCATGACAACGTGCCGAGAGAGTGAGGACCTGCCAAGTAGAAAGGCTTTCTCTTTCTTGATAGCTCAAAATTCAAAATTAAAGTTAGACATAATCCATGTACTTTGCATCCTATGTTAAGAAAAAAGACTCTCTGGGGCTGTGGTGCCCAGATAGGGATGCCGTTTGGAGTATCCTGGCAAGTGTGAGTGTGCCTACTTGTTGGCTGGTGGCAGAGGGAAGGGCGTGTCACCATCCAGCTCATCATGTTCAGCTTGGTGCCACACAGGATTCCTGGAGGGCCCATCACTGTTAATGTCTGTGAGGTGGCTGATTCTTCAGAGGCCTGTTTACTTCATAAGTGACCATCCTGCTTCTCCTGGACTCAGACAGAGGCCGAAATGAAGCCCTAGTGTAGGGATAAATGTTGTCCATAGATGTTTGGAATCTCCTGCTTCTGCTAAGGGCTGTGAGGGCCCAGGCCTGTGGCCTGGTGTGTGTTGCTGACCCTGGCCACACTCCAGACCCCATCCGCATGGTCAAGTGTGATGTGACCAGAAAAGCTGTGGTGTGATGGCATCTGCGGACAAGAACAGTGGGGCAGGTAGCAGGGCTGTCTCTATAGCGTGTGCTTAGGGGCAGGCAGGGACCATTCTGGGCTCTCTTTTTTTAAAAAAATAACCAAGCCCTGTTTGAGAGAAAGAGAATTCTGTGGGTTTCTTTTATTATTAAAACCCACATGACCAAAAAAACAAAACAAAACAAAATCCACATGACCTGCTTGTTCTGGGGGAGTCAACTTCATACAGTGATGTGACATGCTGGCCATGGGCTGCTCTGTGGTCTTATCAGTGGTCTGATCAGTGGTCAGTCAGTGGTCTGGTCAGTGGTCTTATCAATGATCTGCTCAGTGGTCTTGTCAGTGGTCCATTCAGTGGTTTTTTCAGTGGTCTTATCAGTGGTCTGGTCAGTGCTCTGACCAGTCAGTGGTCAGTGGTCCAGTTGGTGGTCTAATTACTCTCTTTCCTGTCACAATAGGGCACTTTCTAGGCCAGGTGACTCAACCAAGCCTACTCTGGCTCCCATGCCTCTAGCTTGGTTTTCTCAGTAGGCTGGCAAGCCATAGGGGGAGGGGGTGTGTGTCTCAGGAAGGCTCTTATGTCCATCAGGGCGAGAGATAGGAGAAAGCTGGCTTAGTCCCTGGGGTCAGCACCAGAACTCGGTCCAAGCATCCTCTCTCAGGCTGGTGTGACCAGAGGGTTCTGTGGGGCAAGATGGAGTGTCACTGAGGATTCGGGTAAGTTTGTGATGTTCTGAGAACTTGGTGTTATCTGCCTTGTATATAACTCCCATCCCCCAGAAGCTACATTTGAGCGGAGGCTGTGATGCTGTGACCCAACCTTGGCACTGCACTGTGCTTAGAGGTTCATGCAGGGGACAGGGGCTGGCATGCTGGCCTGCCCAGTGGCTATGCTGACCTCAAGGCTGCCTGCACAGCTGCTGGTGTTCCCTGCAGGTGTCAGCATGCTGTCAGAGGGTGTCATCAGCTGTTTAATGACTATTATTGCATATGTTTTTACAGAGGGGGCCTATCTGATTAGAATTGGTCTTTCTACAGCAGTGTAGTCTGATGGCATGCTGGAGACCCAAGTCATAAATTCTACTCCTGTCTCTTCAGCTGGCACCAACTTTTCCAAGACACGGAGTTTCTAGTTCTTTCATCTGTGCTTTACTTTGGCAGTGACCCTAAAGTGTTCTTTGTTGCTATTCAGGATGACAGTACAGCCACCCATTCTCTACCTCCCTGACCCCCAAAGGAAGAAAAGATTATCTCTGGAAACTTGGAAGGAAGTCAGGGCGTCTCAGGGTTCCTCCTTCCTGTGGAGGGAGCTGCTGTTGGTGCTTCCTTC